CAATGGACTGACTATATATTTGAGATCTCTCTCACACGGACTCAGTTGCCTGTCAGCCGCGACGCGGAACATAGCGATTTCGCCATGCACGTTTATCTAAAATGAAATGCAATGAGAAAATCGGAATTACCAAACTACAAGGATGTCACATGCAGTGCCCAATCATCCCGGATGCCCTCCAAGCTGAGTTGAGGTAGACGTTGTAAGTTGTGTACGTGTATATCCGATTGGATAAGTGAACCATGTAGTGCGACGACAGTAGCTGGACATAGCAGTTGCACCACGAATAAGTCCCCGTGTAGCATGAGAAGACGTGGAATAAACTGTTCCAGGACCGAATGCACCGTCCCATAGAAGGTCAACTCAAGCCATCCAGACGTCTCACACAACCATTTAAATGTCCACGAGTCATCGGGAGCATAGTCGAACAAGACCGCGCGGAACCAAGAAGTGGTAGCAAGGAAGGGGTCCCGCCACCGTAACCACGTATCGTAATGAAAACTGGGATGCTCCGAAAGTTGTATTCCATGCTCCTGTAAGACAAGTGGAAAGAAAGACAACCACTGCTCCTTGTCAACATACAAATTGGAAAGAGCTTCGATGTTCAAGGCAGGACTATTAAAGAATTTCTGGCACATATGCAAGACCCACCTTTGACAAGTGCCGGCTCGGCCCGGTCGTTGTTGATGTAAGGGACAAAGGAGCTCTTGCCGAGCCATGTGTTCAGTTTGCCTTCGCAGTAAATGACCGAAGTACCCATGTTTGCGATGGAGCCATGCTACTACAGTCCACAACGACTCAGGCTTGCGAAGTCTTAGAATTTCACGAATAGCACGCCTTCTCAGACGATTGAGGCCACCAGCCTGGAAACTCGACAACCAGTCAGGTATGTAAAGCTTCAAGGTCTGACATAAGATAGACAACTGTAGAGATTGCAGGGAAGCCAAGTGTTCGCGATTTGGATGAAGAAGTGGGGAAAGCCAAAGCCAGCGAGAGGCAATGTATGTTTGTACCAAATCGACGGAAACATCCCACCGTTGCCAATGACCACGGTTGAGAATACTCTGCATCTGCACGATCCCACCCATCACCCTTTGTTTGCATTGCGGTAACAACAGCTCTGTAAGTGTGCAGCCTTCAGTGGAGTCAAAGGCCGGTTGCTGTATGGAGATCCCAAGATAACGAACTGTCTGCGACCATGTGCACTCGCGTAAGGCATGATTTAAGGACAGGGAACCGCGACCCGAACGAAGCATATCGGACGTAGACATTACCGTAGTTTTGGACAAGTTCCAACGTAGGCCATAATCCGCAAAGGCTTCAATAATCCATGGCACGACTCGCTCCGCCACCCTCCAACTGCTGAAGACGAACATGCAGTCATCGATGAACGCCCATGCCCCGACTTCTCCCGGAAATTCCTGTTCCCATCTGACATGAAGGTCCCGAAAGATATGTTCAACGAGAATGGCGAAAACCTGTGCACTATGACTGCCTCCTTGTAGAATGCCTTTTCCCGGCACCATGCCAGTAACAAGACCCTGAAATTCCATCAACAAGCCGTGCGAGGAAATCTCGTAAAGGAGACGGTGCAGTTCCGGATGAACCTGTGAGGATGACAACGAAAACATGGTTGTCCGTAGTTTGTCCCAGTTCACTGAGTCAAACGCAGCCTCGATGTCAGCGGAAACCCAAATCGAATGTGAAAGTTGCAAAGCATCACGTTGAAGACGATTGGTGAACATGAACAAAGCGTCTATGAGCTGTGTACCTGGGAGTCCACCTTGCTGAAAATGCGGAACGGGCCACGTTGCCTGAATGCGCCCTACAAGAAGCGACATGTAAAGCTTGTGAGTGCACTCCATTAGCGCAATAGGTCGAAGATCTCTTGGTTCACACACATCACGAAGTTTAGGCAGTAGTGTCAACACGGCAATGCGATGCTCCGGCAGTGAGGCGCCTCGGAGAAGCACTGTGTTTAAATGGTCAGTAATGAGTTGAAGCCCATCTTCGCGGTGCAGCAGTGCACGTAAGAACTCAACCGACATACCAGACGCACCGGAGCATTTATGGAGTTTCATTCGGAGTACCCCGGCACGAACTGCATCAATGGAAAAGGGGTTCGCCATCGGCAAATCGCCAATATCCCGACCGCAACCCAGTAGTTGCGATGGTGCAACCTTTTGTGCTTGAAACCGGCTAACGAAAAAATCCTGAACGGCTTTGGTGAATTGTTGTCTGCCAGAGAAAACTCGAAATGCCTCATCAAAACGGTGACCAACATTAGACCGGTTGTGCTTGAGAAACTTGGAGGCTTCGTGATCCTTGTTCGCAGCTTTCGCAATGAGGTCCCTGTGCCACGCATCCCTTTCAAATTGCCTGAACGCAAGAATCTGACGAGTAAGGGCAGTGCGCTCAGCAGTATCACGGCTCAGCCGCCGCTGTGCACACAAGGCTTTGAGTGTAGCCGAATCCCGATACCGTCTAGTTGGAGCTCGGTAGGAAGATTTGGTGGCCATACCAGAAAGAATGACCCATTGTTCGCGACTCGACATAGTCCGAAATGATGGACAATCAGGCCAGGCACTCTCCAGCTTGTAAGTGGAATTTCTCCAACGACCACATTTAGAATGCTGCCTGATGGAAGGACGAGAACGGGTGTGCGAACATTTAAGGAAGGATGATGGCTCCAGCGCGAAATCAAACATCACACAAGCATGATCCGACTGAAGCTCTTCGGCTGAATGCTTGACCACAGTCACACACTCCGCATCCATGAATTGTAGCATATGATTCGATTCTGTGACCCAGGCCCCTGCAATGAAGAAGTAATCGAGAATAGAACTGCTCTTGATGCCAAATCTGGTGGGGCACATGGGGGAGCAGAATCGACCGCCTTGCAAGGTCATAGGAACAGCAAGTGTATCATACCGGCTGCTCCCAGGTTCGCAATTCCAATCCCCACACGCTAAGATATCATACTGTGAATACCGTTGAGTAATGGACATAAACTCATCGACCGCTTCTTGGAAGACAATCTCGCTAGTACCCGAATGAGGGAAATGAACTGAAAGAACCAGCGAATAACGCTTGTTTCTGGCACTCTGGAAGCACACCCCAACAACTCTCTTGCCAATGAAGGAAAATTTGACGTGTTCAATAACATCCGTGTCAATAGCAATCACCTGTGAGAGATGTGCATCCGTGCTGCCAACAAAAACTCTGTACTCATGCATGTCCGAATCTAGCCCGAAAGCCAGTTCCTGCATCTCATGGCTCTCACCCCTTGAGGGAACGAGCAACTCAGACAACAGGTGAACCCCGCCAACTTCCTGTAAAGTGATGATCTCAGGCGTGTACTCTAAAGACATCCAATCAGACACGTCTTGTATCCGTTTGCCCCTGACATTCCAAGTGCACGTCTGCATCACACTCAGCGGGTCCCCTTGGTAACGGCTTACATTGTCGGGAGGAGCTCATTGCAGTCTGTGCAAAGCCGCTTCAATCCTACCTTGTTCCTCTCCCGTCATGTTGGAGATGTTGGTCAGGTTAAAGTGGAACACCATCTCAGCCTGAGTAGGATCAGTGCTCATGGCGATGACATACTGCCCGTTAGAGGCGCTCAAAGTGTGAGTGGTGTCGGCGGCAATCCGCTTATTGACAAGCCAAATCAGCCCTTTGGACCATTCAACATCCAGCTCCAGCTGACTTGAAATCTGGGTGAGGAACTGTTCCAGCTTTGATTTTGCCAACATCGTTCTTCGATTGCGCATCCTAACAGCTTTTGGTTTGCTTGCTGTAAACCACATTTTGCCATGACCATTTGCATCAATCGGAATTTTGTCGTGAATCTGACTTCGAATGCTCTGGTATCTCTCATATGCAGTCTGTGATTGAGAAGGTTTCAGATACATGTGACAGATGGAGCCTCGTTTGCCATACACTTGCAAGGAGTCCACTTCCAAGGGCGGGTGGTGTTTTCCAATGGCTGTGCTGGTCGCCTTCAGAATGACATCCCTCTTCGTTCCGTCTTCCCATCCACCGACAATGACGTGGTTGTAATCGGTCTGGTAGGAGTGCGTGGCCGCATGATCGCGGGAATCTCCAAGCATACCCGGTCCAACCCTACCAGCTTCAAAGAACATGTGATGTTGCTGATCGTCTTTGCGAGGGTAATCAGGAAGTCCAGTGATTGGAGCAGCTGTATGGTGAGGGAGGGCACGATCACGTGAAGCAGCCTGAGTAGACCTTGGGAGTCCTTGGTCTTTGATCTCCTGAAGAGCTGTCTCTAAAGTCACGAGCTTTTCTTCCATCCGATGAAGCCGTTGAGGCGATGCATCTTCCTCAAGTCTCATGAGTCGCTGATTGAAACCAGAGATGAGGCCGCTGAACTGACTGAATTGTTCAGCGATGTGTTGCTTCAGATCAGTAACCCACTCCGGCTTGCCACCGTTCAAAGCCAAGCCCAAATCCGGTTGTTGAGCCTCTCTTGCAGCAATCAACTCTGCTTCGTCAGCTTCTTGTCTGCTTTTCTTGCGAACGGGGCTAGCAACTGGACTTAACGGCGGAAGACCCCCGTTCATCAAAGGACTCTCCATGTTTAGATTCACTACCGACAGAAGTGGACTGTAAGCCGAAACCTTGAGCCAAAATGGCTTGCGCCGTATTGATTACATATAATACTCAAATGAAGCATTCCGCTACAAAATTCACGCCGAAAGAGGCACGAAAACCAAGTAACGAATTAAGCGTCAGGTTGAATATTGCGAGTAGTGGTAAACGGAATAGGATATATCCGGATCTTGACAAGGGTGACGAAGTCAAGATATTTAGGAAGCGAAAACCGAATGAGAAGGAAAGGGTAGGAAATTTCAGTAAAGGTGTGTATACAATAGAAAGAATAGAAAAGAAACTAAGTCAAAGTTATTATTATGTAGAAGGGCAAACAAGACCATATTTACGTTTTGAGTTGTTAAAGGTTTAAGCCACAATTTGAATGCACAATTCGAGTTTTTAAATTGATGTTGTGCGCGCGACGCTTCTGACTTTGTAGTCAGTAAATGTTGGACACAATGTGGCTGTGCGTGGGGCTTGTTGACTGTCGCACCGGCTTTCGTGCGCGAAGTAAGGTCCCCGCTTTGCAGCCTGCCATAGAAACACCTGTGTTTGCACGTACTGGCTGAGCACTTTCCTGTTCTTGTGGAATACTCCAGCTCTGCCTACTGAACACTTTTCTTTTCATCCCTGGAATTATTCTGGCTGTGGAACTGCTGCGGCTGCCTATACCGAACATTTTTCTGTTCGACTGTGGATTAGCTTAGCTCCAGCTTACCTACCGAACACCATTTTGTTCATGTCACGAATACATTTTGGTTCACTTGCGCGGCTTTTTGGATTCACCTTTCGAGCACTTTTCTACTCGCCCGACACTGTGCTGTTCACCGCTGAACCAAAACCTGAGATGCTGCGAAGGAGTCTAAACGAACTTGCTTTCGGAATGCTACCGAAAATTTCTGGATTAAGAGCACTTGACTGCCAAGAGATTTGAGCAACCATGGAACTGCAAAAAGCCAAACTATTGGACCCCAGTTCCGAAAGGACTTGGCTGCAACTAAGGGTCCCCCCTATTGGGTCCCGATATTCGTTTTGAAAGAGTAACCCCCCGCCCCAAACAAGATTTAGGTCCAGCCCTCAATGATTGCCACTTGCAGTTCTAAGGTGAGGGACTTAGGGCTTAGAAATGCTAATGCTGTCACTTGCAGGTAGTTGAGGGGCAACCTTGGAATTTCCCATCCACCGCGGGCAAAGTTGCTTTTCTCACCCGACGTTGGCTTCAATTCGTCACGCGTGCCCGCTTCGCAGGACGCTCGACACTCTCTTCGTCCTCACTTTGCGTGGCGCTCAGCTCGCACACAGTTTCCCAGTGCGTCAACACATTCGTGGAATGCAAACGCGAACTATCTATGAAGTTCTTGTACCGATCAGCAAGAACTCTTCTGTACGGCATTTGTTCTGGGGACAGCCGCTGAAAATCATGGTGCGCATATCGCTTCCAGACTCTGCCATTTTTGGCGACTGACAGTCGCACAGCCCAGTCACCAGAAGAGCAAACAACAGTCCACCTTCCGCCATCAATGCCTGGAACGAGTGCCAGTCCATCATCGTCGAACAAGCCATGGCAAGCTCCTGTAAAACCTGTGCAGAGCCGTATACTGTTGCGGACATCGTCGAAGTGGAATGTCCGAGCGAACTGTCTGCCCTTGTTGGACGTCTGGTAAGATGGCGTTTTCGTAGCAATGTGCGCCACAGAGAGACAGTGCGAGTCGTCGCAACCACAGAGTGCACAGACGGGATAAAGCTCTTTGCATGCCCGCTTTGTCTCAAGGCTAAAAGCGGCTGCGGCCTCACCGTAGCTCGACTGCCCTGCAGAGCTGTCTCTTTTTTGAAACGTTTGGATCTGCGCAAGCTGATTCTTGATCTGCGCAAGCTGATTCTTGAGGTCAAGGTCCTCGAGTCGCGCTTGTGTTTCCTTCAGGGGAAGGCAAGCAAGCACCCGAATCTACAACAAACCCCAACCATGCAGAAAGTCGACACTAAAACACCTAGACCGCAAACACGTCCTACATTCCCGAAAACACCCGAACCACCAAACTAACTAAGCAAAGAACCTAGCAAGGACCAAACCTCCTAGCGTGAACTACTTAAGGGGACTAAAT